CCGGTGAGGGACATAAAGTTAAGTGATGATTGTTTTCTCTGGACATGTGGTATGTTCTCTTGGCAGCCGGGAATCTTTCTGTTCCCCCATGCTCCATTATCCAGTTTCAGGTTGTCCTTGTTGAGTTCAGTTCCACCGATGGAGATTGTGGGGCGTTTGCAAACAGTGGGGGATCAATCTTTCTCCTGCGGAAGCTCAAGGCAAGGGAAGAAGCCCTTGGGGGGGGGAGGTGATGTACTTGGGCAGAAGAACGAAGCCGCCAAAAGCAAGAATGGGAGGAGAGATGGGAAGAAGCTTTTGTTCGCAAGTTTCATGCGCCCTCCCGGACAGATGGTGATATTTTTTTTTTCCCCCCTTTTTGACCATGTCGTAATTTTTCGCAGGACGCAAGTCCTTTTCTCCCATTTCCTTTATTCCCCCCCCCTTTTTCCACCGCCCCCCCCCCCCCACCTCCCCCTCCTCCTCCTCCTCCTCCTCCTCCTCCTCCTCTTCTACCTCCTGTTTCATACTGATGGCTTCCGCAAGGTCTCGGGTGTAATCATGGGGAAGAAGGACCAGCTGTTTACATGGAGCAAGCAAGAAGGATGTATCTTCCAGTGGACTAGGAGATGACAAGTGAAGAATGACGTCTCCACTTACACGCACAATCGCATTCACAATCTGTCCATCGAACTTTCATTGTCGATCGTTGATGCTAGTTTACAAAGAGCACTTCGTCATTCCTGCATGCTCAATCCAAGTTTCGACTCGAGCCATCGGATCTGAGCTTCTTGGCCTACCAGCAGCCATCACACGCTCCTCCTCCTCCTCCTCCTCTTCCTCCTCCTCCCGCTCACCTTGTATCCTCACTCTGTCCCACTCCCTGTACGGGACCCGCACGCATCGAACTCCGAGCGCATGCAGACAGAAAGTCTTGAGCGATGTAGAGCCGTCCACTTGCTCCGTGCCTGCGATTTCCCACCTTATTTTTCTCCTCCCTTCCCTTCCCTTCCCTTCCCTTCCCTTCCCTTCCCTTCCCTTCCCTTCCCTTCCCTTCCCTTCCCTTCCCTTCCCTTCCCTTCCCTTCCCTTCCCTTCCCTTCCCTTCCCTTCCCTTCCCTCCTCTCTCTCTTCTCCTCCCCTGTCTCCTCCTCTCATCTTCTCGTCCTGCTGCCCACCAGTCTCGAGGTCAACGACGTAGTGGGTGGGCCCATCAAACTCGATGCAGGTGTTCAGCTCTGAGGCTAGTCAGAAGTTTGACAAGCTGGGAAGCGACACCTGCCTGGCATCCAAATGTCCACCGTGTACCCCGAGTCCTCCAGCACGTGCTCCTCCTCCACGCTCCCGAGACGTCTTGCGCAGCGAGCGAGGGACTGGAGAGGTGAGAGGAGATGAGACGAGGCAACATGCATAGATGAGCCAAGAAGAGGGGAGGAGAGAAGAAGACAGCAAAGCAGCGACAGGAAGAGGAGAGGGAAGGAGTGATATCGCAATTACCGCTTGCGAGTCAGAGACTGAGTTGACATCTGAAGATGTTCTCATGAAGAAATCCTTGCACTCTTCCCTGCAAACTTCGATCAGCGTTTCGCCGCCTTCCCCCCCTCCCTCCGGCTCCAAGGGTGAGAAAGGTTTTACTTGAGCCTTTCACAATCTGGCACGCAACATCATCATCTGCTCTCCTCACATGCCATGTGCTCACCTGAGATGATCGCCGAGTCCTCCCCTTGCAGCAATGTCGACAGCTCTTCCCCAACAGCAGAGAGACTCAGGAAGAACAGGTGAAGCTGATACTTGTCTGACTTGTCTAACCTGCCATGTCAATTCAGCCCTCACTGCTTCCTCCTCCTCCTCCCCTTCTTGTCTGCCAGTCCCGAGACCCCCAAAGCTGTTCTCAGCTAATGACATAGCTCTTCCTTCCACATTACCCCCCCCTCCCTTCCTCCTCCCTGGCGCCCTATCCCTCCCATCCTCCAATCTCCTTTGCCTTTCTCCTCTTCCTTCCTCCTCCAAAACCTCTGCTTCTCTCTTATCATCAGTCGCAAAATGTGAGCACACAAGGGAGCATCTGGTATTCTGGCAAGCAAGTCAGCACGTCTTGCACAGAGAGGAGGAGAAGGTATCGAGATGGACTAGGAAGAGAGCAGAGGAAAGAAGGGACAAGAGCGGCGAAGAGAAGACGGTAGAGAAAGGACGGGAGCAAACGAGAACCACTGAATCTGCCGGAGGGAAGCAAACGAGAGAGAAGCAGGAAGATCCACATGGATGGAAGGGAGAGCAAGGGAGGGAGGGAGGGAGGGAGGGAGGGAGGGAGGGAGGGAGGGAGGGAGGGAGGGAGGGAGGGAGGGAGGGAGGGAGGGAGCCGGGGGTTCAGAGGGAAGGGGCAGCACCTGAACACAGCGTGGGACCAGAGCAGGTTGCAGCAAGTCTGCATGTTCACATGCTGGTCGGGGAGGGAGAGGAAGAGGTCGTCGAGCTGGAGGAGCAGGTCGGTGCGGAGGAAGTTGACTTGCGCGAAGGAGGAGAGGACGGAGGAGATGGAGAGCGAGTTGGCTCGAATCTTCTCGTTCTTGCTCATGGCAATGACTCTCTTGCCCAGCATGTAGAAGGTCTAAATGTAACTCAGAACGCCATCCGTACTTCCTCCCTCCGATCCCATTCCTCCTCCCTTCCCCTTCTCCCTGCTTCTCATTCCTTTATCCTCTTCCTGCACATTTACCTATCCTTCCCCGCCTGCTGCCTGCTTGAATCTGACAACTCCCTCTTCTGCCCCCTTCCCTCTCTCGCGCTTTCCAGTCCTCATTTTCTCGCACCTTGCTATGAAAGACCCTCATCTTTGCCATGGAGCTCAAGACATTCGCAACGTCTTGCCCAAAAGCTGATTCAAGATTCCTCTCCATGACGAAATGATTCATCAGCTTGCTCACGAGCTCCAAGTTTGTGTACCCTGGGCAACAAAAGATCGCCCCATCAGCTCAAAAGCGCAAACTCAAACAGCACACACCCAGCTGGGAAAAAGACCACATGATGGTAGCAATGTCTCTGGACCTCATGCTGGACAACAAGGAGCTTCGATCCATCTGCTCCACAAGACGTTGGAAAACCTGTCGATCTGCAATCTTCATCTTTGCCGATGACCAGATGACAGTAGCGATGTCCTGATAACAAACGATGAGTGAAGCCCCAAAGCAAAGGTCTGCTGTTGTCATGAGTGAATGTCTCACTTGTGAGTTGCAAGCAAACAACATCTCCTTTGTTAACAATGCGGTGCCGATGTGGAAAAACATGATCATCCTCTTCTTCAAGATTTCAAAGTCGCTGTCAAGAATCTGATCAAACAATGTTCAGAGGCTGACGTTTCATGTCGGTTTCGAAAACCTTTCCAATCTTTCCAACGTCAAGGCTGCGGCAACACTTGGCGTCAAAACCATCTTCATAGTAGACAACATAGCTTCCATCCATATCTCCTGCAAGACAAGGAATCAGCGTCAACAACCACCTCTTCGATACTGCACCTTCACCCCCGATAACCCCAAATCGAGGAACCTTGCTTTCTATCTGCACAACAACCATTTCGCCCCTCTCGAACTCTCTTGCCATGTAGCTGTAGTCCTCCTCCAATCTCCATGTGTGGGGAATTTCCATCCCAACCTATCACAGAAATCATCCAGCAGCGATGATCAACATTCGTCATCACCCTTGATTTCTCTTCCATGAGGAATTCCTTCCGGTTAAGAGGAAAACTTGCGAGAGCATTGAGAGAAAGCGCAACATGTCTTGACAACACAATCACTGAGATGAAACGCGATACAAGAGGCACAAACAAACAACCTCGGCTCCAGGTCGTTCACGGCGTCACTGATCAAAGATGCAATCCTGACGACGAGCTGCTGGACTTGTTGAACATCTCGAAAGCCCTTGGCCTGCAATGGCAGCTCTACAAGGCATCCTACAATAAGTTGACAACACCTGCCATTGCAGCCGCTTGAGGTTGTTGAGACATAGCGCCAAGTCTGTTGCAACAATGACATCTCCTTCGATGCTCTTTGACTGCAAAGACAGTCAGCAACACCAAGATCAAATTCCATGACCAAGCACCAGGATGTCGACAAGTTCTTTGAGGTTTGATATCTTGCTCAAGTTGTAAGTTATTCTCTTCTTCTTGGTCTTGCTTGAGATCTGAGCCTCTCTACACCAATGATCAGACGATAAGCACGTCGATGTCAAGCAAACCGGGATCGAAGAATGTTTGTCGGAACGTTGTACTGAAATTCTCGGAGGAGTTTCATAACATCGTCAGCTTGATCCTTTGCCATGATGGCTTCATCGATGAGAGCATGTTGTGAGATGATCTTCTTGAAGTCCGCGGACTTGTCCTCGAGCTCTTGTATGATATCTTTCAGTCGCAACTGCACTTGCTCAATGTATCTGAGGTCATCATTATCAGGGTTTGCAATCCCGAGGAGCCTCCTTGCTTCTTTGATCTGAATGTCTGATTCGAAGATCGCCTCCTTGAGATCTTCAGTCACAACCGCTGACCGGTCCGTCAGCTCACTGCCCCCAACTGCCTGCGGAGCGTGGGGGGGCATGCTCGAGATATTGAGGGCACCATCGTCGAACTTGGCTACCGGTCTCTTGGACCCAAGATCAACGGGCAGGTTGTACTGGATAGCCCGCAAGTGCTCCATCATATCATCTAGACTGTTTCCCAGTCCCTGTGAGCTCTGTTCCGCCTCCCATCGCCCAGCAAGAGACTCCAGCGCTCGAAGTCGCATCGTGACCTCGTCCTTCGTGATCACCTGTGAAGAAGCATCACTCCTTGAGAACATCGTGGACCATCTCAACCTCGGATGCTAGCAGAGATCGAGACCTCTCGAGTTCTTGCTCGATCTCACACTTAAGATCGTCCGTCCCGTCGTGGCCGGAGGATCTTGACTTGGTGAACATACCAGGGATGATTCTGTGATGGTGCCTGGCGGGTGTATAAAGTCATGGGTCTGCGGGAGTGACAATCGAGACATGCACACACCTGTTGTTTCCGCGTTTGAAGTCGTTGAAGGCAAAATGAGAAACATGGCAGTGCTGCAAGTTCGAGAAGATACTGGTGGAAGGAGGAGAGCTCGTGAAGAGAAGCTCTTTGACGATCTGGAATACAATCGGAGTGGAAGGATCAAGACGGCAGAACCATGTGAGGACGAACAAGAGTGTTTTCAGTGACGCGAACCCTTCCATTGCGATTCAGGCGATTACAGTGTGCTGTCGATACTGACCGAGCTTCATCTCATTTCACATGGTGCCCTCTCATCAGTTCTGAACCTAGATACCTATCTCTTCCTCTCCTCTCCTCTCCTCTCCTCTCCTCTCCTCTCCTCTCCTCTCCTCTTCTACATCGGTCTGACAGCATTGTTTCACACTTTGTCTGGTCGATTTCACGTCCGCAATGCACCCTCTCATCCCCCTCATTCACAGGTAACGTGATGGCGGTCCAGATCCAGACCGCCGCATCCTATGTCTTCTGCCGCATCGGTGGGTCTGGATGGCGGTGTGAGCCACAAGTGCGACCCTCTCAGCTCCAAGTTTAATGATCGCCTGATGCACGCCTTCCTCTAGGCTCCGCAGTTACCAGTCGCTTCCTGCCGCCACTTCCCTCCGAGGCTTCTATCCTCAGCTTCCCGTCCACATACTTCCCTGTAGCTGCCTCCTCAAACGCTCTCCTGTGCTTGTCTCCTTCGCCCCTGGCAAGCTTCTTAGTCCTCCTCCTCTTCATCTTCCCCTCCTCATGTCTTGCCTTGCTTGAAAGAACCGGCAGTAGCTCCTTCCATCCCTCGAGTACACGTCCACAAATGGCCATCCATCTACGGCCAACCCTCCTCCTTGCTCAGCTTCTCGATCGCCTTGTCAATCTGCTCAGGACAGGTAGAGCCGAAGGGGTCGCCTGCTAGAGCAGCGGAGAAGCAGGCGACCCCTCGGCCCTCCTCCAGCACCCTGAGGTAGACGTGGCTCGAGTCATATAGCAGAACTGGCACTCCCTCGGCTCTCGCTTGCATGATGCTCGACGAGGGTTCAGACTGCCCGCTGAGAGAACTCGAAGCGCTCGTACCACGACACCTTCACCAACTCTTGTCTTCCCTCCCCCCCCATCGCCCTGTCGGGTCCGCGGCTCTAGGTCAAGCAATGCTTGCTCACAAACATGTCCGATGATCTCAGACGAGACGCCCTGCTGTCCTCGACTCTCTCGCCACCTTCACTGGGCAACGACACTGAGATTGATCGCAGTCTTCGTCTCTGCACCAGTCGGCCGTAGAGCTCTTGAGGGCTTCGGAGGCCTACCTTACTTATATACTTGCCGACTACGATGCAATCTGAGGCAGAGAGCTCCCTGGCCTGCTTGGTTGACTCATCTCCTGTCATCCCAGTGGAGCTCGCCGGCTGATCTCTGACATTGCCTGTGGGGCTAGCAGGCTGATGTCTCATCTTGAGCGTAGTCGTCTGATGTCTCAAGTCAGTCGTAGAGCTTGTCGGCTGATCTCTTGGCTTAGCAGAAGGACTTGTGGGCGGGTCTCTTGACTTGATTGTAGGACTGGCAGGCTGATCTCTTATCTTCAGCAAGGGCAGTTGATCTCTCAAGTTGGTGGTAGAGATTGTCAGTGGAGCTCTCGACTTGTTCGTAGGACTTGTAGGCGGTTCGCTGGGCTTAGTAGATGGATTTGCAGGCTGATCTCTTGATCTTGGTCTAGGAATTATTTGCTGATCTCCCTTCTTGGTTGCCATCGCCATCATCTGCTTCTGCATCGTCCTCAGCATCTCACTCTGCCCGTGCATTGACGTCTGCAACTGCTCCACTGCCTCGGCAAGGCGAAGGATGAGAGGTTGGTGCGGGTCAACGCTGGGAGACTTGGTTTCAAGGTTGTCGATGAAGGTTTCAATCCTCTCAACACTGGCCGACAAACGACCTTTGGTTTGTTCCGTATCCCCACCATCTTCTTCCAGTTGAAGAAGGCTCTGTAGACAGGGGAGTTGAGAAGCATTGTCAACACTTCCCTCTTTGACTTGCGGTGCTGATGCTTGCGCGACTTGAAGATCGGATTATGAATCTTGTCAACAGACAACAACAGAGATTTGATTGCAAACAGCACGTCGTAGTTGAACTCCTGAGCCTCATTCTTGATCGCCATTGCAATCTGCCTTTCACATTAGCCGTGTTGCTCCCCTACCCTGCTGTCACCTACCTTGCGATGCACGTAGTTCGACATCTGTGTTAGCATCACCGTCTCAAACTCTTCAGGCCCCAGCTCCCCTTGCGAGTTTAGCAGCTTCCGCGAGTCTGTGACGCTATCGAACTCTTCCTGTGTGAGCTTCAATTTGAGCTTCTGCAGAGCCTTCTTGTCAGCTCCCTCTGTCGCCGCTCACTTCGCTCACCTTCAGGCCGATGTTGAGCTCCTCCAGGTTGACCGCCCCAGACTCGTCAAGGTCCATCTTCTGCTTGATCGCGTCAGCTGGAGGGCAGCTGGAGGTTGATTGTCCTTCTTTGACCTGATAGAGCTAGAAGATCTTCGTCGAGAGCTCTTCTAGCGTCGCAAAGTACATCAAGCTTGTCACCAGCGGGTCTAAGGGGCCTCTCGTGCGAAATTGTTGCACCAGTCCCATCTGAGAAGGCGTCAGGATTTCACGTTGATGTCATACTAGAGCTCACAATCTTCTCCTGATGCCTTGCGTTCCTCTCGTTCCTTTCCCGCTCCACAGTGGAGATAAACTCGTCCAGCAGCACAGCCACGACTATGTTCATCAGCACCTGGAAGTCTTGTCACTGCTCTTCTTCCGGCCTCCTACCACTTACCACGTTCACGATGAGCATGTAGACCACGAAGTACAGCCCGGTCTAAGTTATCTAAAGGTCACATAAAGTCAACACCTCCCCCTCTCCTTAGACACTTTCGCTGTCACTAAAGAGAGTTCGAGTGACGCTCGAGGCCCAAGAGTCCCCTGTTGCCATCTGAAACAAGGTGAACATGTACCGGAGGAAGTTTCCGAAGAACTTTTCGCTCTGTGCGGCGAAAAGTCTCGTTGCAATGATGGCAAAGATTGATGTGATGATGAGTAAGATGCAGAATGCGCTGCAGCAGCACCGGATGAGGACAGGGCGTTGATGAGAATGCGAAACGAGTTCAACATCCTGCCACACATACCGTCACTTTCCAAGCAGACACTCGAGGTAAGTCGCCATTCACCGGAACAGGCGCATCATTTTAAAGATGCGGGTCAGCCGCATGGCGCTCAGTCCTGGTACTCCTTGTATGATCTCAGACATCAAAGTGACGAGCACGACCGCAAAGTCTTGAACCATCCAAACCATACCTCCGATTAGTGACTATCAACACAGTTTCCCCTCTCTTCCACCTAAGATGTACGGGACCCAAGACTTTTAGCCCCCCTGGGGGTACCCCGCAATGACTTTTTGTACGGCAAAGCGAGTAAAGCACTCTTTGATTTTACTCATCGACCAGACCGTTCCCGTACGGTAGTGTCCGATTCGTGAATGGGGAATAGGCGTAGCTGGCAACTGAACAGACGTAGCAGACATTCGGGCCCGGCGCCCGCGCCTGAGTTTCATGATCGGATGATCGAACGTACCCGGCGTACGGTGGCAACTTATTAGTAGTCACCTGATTGTCCTCGTACTCCGAGGCTGAGAGTCTCAGCCTCTGGGCCGCGGTATCCGACAAAAGACAGATTACTGCCTGTCATCAGCAGTACCGGTACTAGATTTAACTTAACTTTGAGATGACGCCATGCGTTGTTGGTGGCGGACAAGAGGCCATCATTTCCGAGTTGATCATTCCCGAGGCTTCATCGCCCGGACTGAGCCCAGGACTACTAGGGGTGGGTCCATGGTGATGAAGGTCGTACAGGGGACTGTGACTCAGGGGGACTACTAGGGGTGGGTCCATGGTGATAAAGGCTTGGGACACCCCTACGGACTAGGGGTGGGTCCATGGCGAGCGATGGAGGGACTAGGGGTGAGTCCATGTTGTTGGGAGCGACTGGGGGTAGGGGTCTACACGGCAAGCCATAGACTTCAGGCTTCTCCGAAAAAGAGTATTTTCAGGTTTTTTCCTCTGGGTAGGGTAGGGACTTTGGGACCGGTAGTAACGGATCACCGGCATGTCCGACCGGCGGGTGTTAGGATTAAATTGGGTGGTTCCTTGGAGTACTGAGGGGTGGGGGTGGGGGTGGGGGTTGGGTGGTGTGCCAGTAAACTCAGAGAGTGGATGAATCATCGTAGTGGTGTCAAGGGGTTGAGGAGGGGGAGGGTGTCGAATCATGAGGGTGGATAGGGGTACCTGGAAGACCAGGCTAAGGATGAGCGGTTTTACTGGGTGGATGGGAAGTGAGCAAGGGGGTGGTAGAGGAGGATATCTGAAGCATGCCTTTGAAGGAGGGGTGGGTGACCAGTACGTGGGGTGGCTGGGGACGGGGGTTCAGAGGAGTGGTAGTGGCGTAGAAACCTAGAGGCCTTGGGAGGAATCAAAGGCGACCGGTCAAGGGAAGAGGAAGGAGAAGAGCTGCGAGTCAAAGACCAGGGTCAGCAAGGAAGACAGCTGCAACAGAGAACAGAGACTGTTGTCATCGATAGCTTCAACGCAGCTGGCTTTGCTCATGAAACTAGACTTGAGTGTTCGGACAAATCCAAGCTGCCTCATGCAAGTCTTTGTACAGCTACAAGTTGCATAGCGCTGCTCAAGGGAACTCCTGTTCGAAGAAATACATGGCACTTATGTCGCCAGATCGTTCTCACTGCTTGAGATTCAGCATTCTGAGTGATCGGGATGGCTCAAGCTCATTGGTTCCACTCTATCTGCTCAATGACGAGCATCGACACAAAGAGAAACCCTTGATCACCTGGAAGGAGCAGGTTATTCTCATCCCTTGCATGAATGATAGATGTTGCCAACCTCCTGACTGTTTTGCAGTTAAAAATAAGGGGCGGGAGACAACGATTTTGTAAAAATCCACATCCAAAAAATCACAGTCAAGATTGGAAGGAAACAGAATCAAACCATGAAGATGTTGTAAGCGCGATGCATATACAAACCAACTCGTCGATGTTGTCCAGGGAAGGCACGAAGCAAGATGACAGCGTTCATGAGCTCTCACTTGGCGAGGAGTTCAACCGAGCTTCACCTCTATCACGGCGAACTCGCGAGTTGTCCATGGTTCCGAAGCTCAAGTTGGTTCCGTTCTCCCACACTCAGATCAGCAGCAATGTCAAGAAGATTGAGATGCTGCCAGACTTGAACAAGGTCTCTGAGATCTGCGTCGTCGGGTCTCCAAGAGTGTCCCCTCGCCGAGAGATGGTGGATGCTCGACATGCGCCATTAACTGAAAGGCACTCTCATCGATCAATGCAGCCTCGTACTCCAGGCGAAACAAAACCGTGCTCTCAATATGATGAGAATGAAACACCCCTCAACAAAGGCTTCTTGACTACAAGACAGTATCTTACGGCATGTTCTCCGCGAAATGTTCAAGTTGATGCAAGGAAAGGCTTGTTCAAAGTTCAGCCTCCTAAGAATTCCCTTCAGCCTGGAATGGCCTTTCCTCGTTGTTTCGACTCACACCGTTACGCTCAATCGGATTCCAGCAATTCCATAGAGCCCTTTCGTGATGCTGGATTGAGCAGAGCTGGCTCAAAGTCATGGAGTGGCTCTCAGCTAAAGAGAAAGCAAACCACACCATCTCCTAAGCGAGAGATTGTCTCCTGTCCAAACCTGCAAGACGTTGTTCTGAAGCCCAGCGCAGTCTACCTACCATCTTCGAGTCCTTTCAATGTGCCGAGTTCTGAAGATTCAACCTCCGATGAGGATTTGAGGTCTAATGCGAATTATTTCTTCCTGTACTACTTTTGGAAGATCGACGGATTTATGATCACGTCGTTGCAGTCTGGTCTGCACAAGAGGATTTCAAATGGTTTTTGGAGTGAGTTGGAAGAAGCCCTTTCCTTGTCTGACGTCCAAGGGATTTGCTGTGACCTGAACGAGAGGAGGGTTTCCTCGGAGAAACCTCTCAACGCGGCAAGCTCATCCAGAGCATGGATAAAGGAAGTCCCCATCAGTGTTCTCATGTTCTTTTACAAGTTTAAAAACGATATTGAGAGTGTCCGAAGAGGAGGACGTCAAAATTTGTCAAATGATGGAAGGATTTCCCTGCTTCGGAAGTCAAAGGTGTTGTCGGATACAAGTTCGTACGGCTTCGTTCTCCGATGCCAATCGCTCGAAAACGGAGCGTTGAGCAATGGGGTCAGAAGTTATTTTGGCTTGATTTTGAAGCTCAAGAACATGTCCAGACAATTTTGTAACAGGAAATTCTCCGTTGTCAACTTCATGAGCATGTTCAAGACAATCAAGTCCCGAGAAGACAGTGAGGGGAGTTCTGAATCGAGCGACATCAAAGAGGATTACGAATTGTCTCTCATGGTTGAGAAGTATGCTCCTGGTGAAGACACGGAGTTGAACAAGAATATGCAGTACTCGCCTAACCTGTCACCGATGGGTCAAAGTCCTGACCAGTTGAGCAACCTCTCTATGTCTCCTGGACTTTGGGATTACGTCGTCGTAGAAGATTCGAGAAAGTCTCAGGGGCAGATGGACATTGACCTTTCCATCCAAAATGACAACAATCAGGCGTCAAGAAGTTCTCCTCCTCAGGAGCCTTCAGAGAAAGTCTCATTGCTCCCAAGTTTGCCGCTCCGACCAGAGAAGTGTACAAAACGATCGAAGATTGAAGTGTACGAAGGCGAGCATGTCCCGGCTGCAAGCTCACCAGCGAACATCTTGTCGCCTGTTCGACCGGCAGGACCTCGTATCTCAATGTCGCCAAACGTTGTGGGCAGAAACGGTTCTCGCTGGGTCTCTGCTGAGAGTGGTAGTGTGAAGGGGAAGCGTGGGGAGCCTGGCCAGAGATGCTCGTCGTTTCCTGAGGATGCCATGGCAGCCGGATACAACGAGACGAGCTCACTTCCTCTAGACATCCTGAAGGAGGTAGAGCTGCGGAAATCTTCACGAGACGCTCTGCAGTCATGCAAGCAAAATGTTGTCACTCATCAGAAGGTATCGGGTTGGAGCATCAAGCTTGTCCAATCTTAGATGTAACAATAAATATGATTGTTAACCTGGTAAAAGTGTACAGCAGTAATGTCGATCGAAGAACTTGGCACTGCATGAAAAAACCATTCATCATGTCAAGCAGAAACACCGAACAAGAAGTTTGATCTTGTCATTGTTCTTTACAAAAAATATTCGAGGTGCAAGTGATAGCAAGAAAGCTATCAGTTCTAGTGTTCACAATCTGATTCATCCGTCAGAGCTCTTCGATGAGCTACGTTAAAATTCATCGGCTACACGGGATTACTCCAAATTCCTGCCAACGCTCTAAGCACACTGTCCGAAGCATCAACCAATGCACTTACATCGAATGGCCCTGCCAAGGCCAGTGTGAAACGACGATTCCAGGAAGCTTCTCTACCTCTGAGCACATCTGCGACATGGCCTTGTATGTGTCGGTCTTACAAGCCTTCAGGTTGTAGCTCTTATCAAAGTAGACAGTCTGATCTTCTCTGTTGATCCGCGAGTTGGCGGACATCTTGCAAGTATGTGAAAGAGATTCGAACTTGTAGCACAAATCACGCGCAGCTTTCCTCTGGCACTTCTCAACCATCTTTTCATCCTCTTCAAAACCATCTTGACAGTCTTTCAGGCTCATTCCCGTCCGTTTGAACAAGATGGTAAGCTGTTCCTCCATTTGTTCATCTGCTGATCGGTGGACTTGCTTGAGATTCCTCCAGTCGAGGTAGGCTTCCGATCCCTCCTTGTCGCAATCTCCTCTCAGCACACACGCTCTAGGCTGCATCTTGTACTTGTTCTTCTTGTTCAGCACTGGATCTCCAAAACTGAGACCAGGGCCAATTCCCTTTCTACCATTCGTAGGGAATGCAGAATGATAATACTCTTCTTTCGGCCCACTCTTTGCACTAGCGCTCAGTTTTGAACTTTTGTCGACATTTGCTAGCCCATTCTTGTCCCCAACAACTTCCATGGCTAGCCGTCTCTGCCAAAAGTGAAAATGTAAGACGTGAAATCAAGCATGAATCAACGTGGAGACACCGCGACGCAATGACGGAAAAAGATAAGAACAACAAGGAGCAAAGATGAAAATTTTCTATGTTGACGGAAAATGATTGTAGGGAACACGCACGAAACAAATTCCATTCGTCATCACTCCCACTCTCTCACCGGATGCTGCATCAACTTGGAGACCAATGAGATCCTTTGCGTCAGATAGCTCTTGGTGGAGGCCTTGCTTGCCAGCATAGTTTTCTCTCCTCCATAAATCACGTGAAATGCCACCATATACACCGCTAGAATGGCCGCAACGGCTGCAACCGCCGCCATTGTGATGATGTTCCTGTGCACCATCGCGGCTCTTCGTCGGTACGAACCTGAGGCGGACTCTACCGCAAGTTTCAGTGCCGCTGGCCCACTCCGAATTATCGCCGGGGCCCGTGGGTACAGTACCCCTACCCCTTCGATGGGGATCAATCTCAAATAAACACTCACAGAAGGCTGCCCTCACTGGCTGAATTTCATATCTGGGCTTCTAATCAAATAGCTGTATCCTCTGGTGTATTGACAAAAAACCCCGGGGACCACAAGAGAAATTTCGTTTGTACCCCTACAAGCAAGGGTGGGAGGATGCCTCTTCGGTGGTCTCCTCTGAAAGGTCGTTGTCGATTCGCAATGGCCTTCGCTGGACCCATGCGCCACTTGCTCCAGGTGAGATGTCAATGTCGTACTCCAGTGCTCCTACTCCTCTACATGCATATCTTTCCACACACTTCCTGATCATTGCCCATTGTATCTGCATCAACAAGTTTCTCGTGGAATTTTCCGTGCCCTCTCATTCGCAGCCTTGTGGGGGTTGTTTGGGGTACCGTCTGTAGAACAATCCTCCTTCTGTATGATTGTCTTGGTGTATAGAATTCGTTTTGTTTTCGTTGTGAAGACTTCAAATGCTATTGTCATCGGATTGTTGACGAGATTATGCAAACTGACGCCATACAAATTTCTTTTTCGGGGGTCCCTTGTTTAGTTTAGCACATGTTGCCGTGAGCAAGCGCATTCTAATGCAGATAACAGGAGGCCGAAGAGGCTGCCGCCGCAACGGAGCCCACCGTCACCTTCCCTGATGACTACCCCAACTCCGTCAGGCACTTTCTCCTCATCGGATTCTTGGGCATGTTCATCGGAGCCATTGTGTTCTTCTACATGGGTATCTCCCGCAAGGTCAACACAGTGATGCACGTCCTCACCTTCTTTATCGCTGCTGTTTCTGCTTGCTCCTACTATGCCGAGTGGGCTGGTCTCGGTGTCGAGTACAAGACCACCGACACCACTCCCCGTGTCATCTTCTGGGCTCGCTACCTTGACTGGGTTGTCACTGGACCTGTAAGATATTATTCTCGCATGCTGCAGTGAGCTGACTTTGTTTTCCTCAGCTCATCCTCACTGACTTGGCTCTCCTCTCCAAGTCTGACACCCCCACCATCATCTCTTTGGTTGGCAACATGGTCCTCTACGTCATCTGCGGCCTCATTGGAGCCCTCACCGTGGCCCCTTACAAGTACATGTGGTGGGTTGCCGGACTGATCTTCTTGATCATCGTCTTCATGCTCCTCCTCCAGCGCCTCAACAACGCTGAGGGATATGGCGGAGATGCTCTCAAGGGCTTGACCTGGCTCACCATCCTTGTGTGGATTGTCTACCCCATCGTCTGGATTGTCGGATCTGAGGGCACTGGAGCTTTGGGTCTTTCCCAGGAGGTCGGCATTCTCACCATTGCTGATTTGATTGCCAAGATCGGCTTCGGCTTCTACCTTTTGGCCAACGTTGATGCTCCTGAGTCTGAGTCTGTTCCCCTCAACCAGTCCTCCCAGCAGTACGTTTAAGCTGTGAAACATCTTTCACTGCGTTGTTAGAGCAGATTCTGTGAAGTTACTCTTTAAAACACGAATTTTTCGAAATGTAGTTTTGTTCCTGTTCCTTACGATCTTGTGGCATCATCGCGGCGGTTCGGCCCGGCGTGACCTCAGTTCACAGAGTCTATCTGACGAATTATTTAACAGTGTAAAGAGTCTTCTTGCTGATTTGCTCCGAAAGTCGTGCGGTGGTACAGACTGACACATCACAGAATTGAATATCACGGTGGCGCGCCGTGTCGGATCGGACGGTTATCCGGGGCGGCGCCGCCGCAGCCTGCCGCCGGGCCGCGTGAGGCCGTCCGGCGTTCAACGGTCCGGAGTTCGGACCACTGTGACAACGGTGATGGCAGCCGGGCCCACCTGGGAGAGAGATCACTCAACTTTCAGCCTCAGACCGGGCCGGGGCCGGGGCCCCCGGGCCGGCGGCAGGGACTGAAACCGTGATGCTGAGAACTGACCGTCGCGCGAGTACCGTACGGTACGCCGTCACAAGTTCTGCCACCCGGAGCGATCGGGCCCCGGGGCCCGCTAAACTTCCACTTGAGGGACTCGGACTCCGATGCCGCCGGCACTGCGGCAGGGCCGTGCCATGATCGATGGCATGATGGCATCCTGATCGGACATGATCATCCGATCGGATGGCATCCTGATCGGACATCGGATGATGGCACTGATCGGATCGGACTCGGACTCCGGCGGGTTCCCCCTATATCTGCGTGACTTTGGCATAGTACAAGTCTAACAAACTTGTGCTCCGTCAGGCTTCCGAAGTTCGGAGCCGGGCCGGCCCGGGCCCGGGCCCGGGCCCGGCGGGCCGGGCAGCCGGCCCTGTAGAAGAGGATTCAGCAGAGGAAGAAGGCCTAGAGGGTGGGGTACTCTATGAAGGCACCGGGGGTAGAGGGGGGTAGGGGTTTACACCGGGGGATGAGGGCACCAGCGGCCGCCGAAACGAGGGAGACATGCAACGAGAGCAGGACTGAGAAGGAGGAGGAGAAGGAGGAGGAGGAGGAGGAGGAGGAGGAGGAAGAGTAGTAGTAGTAGTAGTAGTAGTAGTAGTAGTAGTAGGAGGAGGAGGAGTCAGAAAAGAGCAGGAAAAGGGCGAAAAGGAAAGGCATAGAGTTCAGAGGGAAAGGAAAGGAAAGGAAAGGAGGGGATGCATATAGAAATTCTATAAAGGAGCATAGGGTTTGGGGCCAGTTGATGGCAGGCAGAGGCCAGGGTGAATGCTACATGAAACTTACCGTATGCAACACATTTTTCTCTTTCACGTTCCATAATTCATCAGAGTTTGATGTCTGTCAGTAGCTGCAGCTGCCTCCCCCCCTCCACGAATTTCTCGGTATGCTCATTTACGATGACGTGCAGGAAGCATGCCCAAGCAGATCTTATCCGCAGGATGGGTTGTGCCCATCGTTCCCTCGGGGCTCGTGCTCGAGGATCACTCCATCGTCGTCGAGGATGAGCAGATCCTGGATGTTCTCCCCACCAAAGAGGTGTCGGGCAAGTACCCAGACGTCCCCGTCACCTTCTCCAGTCCCTCCAGCGTTCTCATGCCGGGGTTCGTAAACTGCCACACCCACTCTGCCATGACACTGCTGAGGGGGCTGGCGGATGACCTGGAGCTCATGCCCTGGCTCAACAATCACATCTGGCCGGCTGAAGGAAAGTTCGCCGGGGCCGAGTTCGTGGAGGACGGGACGAGGGTGGCGATGGCGGAGATGATCAAGGGAGGGACGACTTGCTTCAATGACATGTACTTCTTCCCCGCTGAGATCGCCAAGGTCGCAGAGGAAGGAGGCATGCGAGCCTTCGTCGGCCTCATCTGCATCGGCTTCCCCTCCTCCTACTGCGGCAGCCCTGACAAGAGCATGGAGGAGAATATCAAGGCGTACATCGGCAAGGGCATGGAGATCAGGGAGGAAGTGATGTCCAAGTTGGCTCGTGTGAGGCCGACGATCGCCCCCCATGCTCCCTACACGTGCGGTGAAGAGGGGATGAAGTACGCAGGGGAGAAGGCGAGGGAGCTCAAGGTCCCTTTCCACATCCACCTGCACGAGACGAGCGGCGAGTGCAGCGACTGGATGGACAACAAGAGCGAGCGGCCGCTGAAGACGCTGGAGAGGTTGGGGCTGGTGGACGAGAGGCTGGTGGCTGTGCACATGACCCAGCTGGACGACGAGGAGATCGAGCTGCTGGCAAAGAGAGGGGTAAGGGAGGGGATGGGGATACTTGTGTGGGCCGGGGGTGGGCGAGAAAGGGAAAGGGAGGAAGGAGGAAGGAGGAGTGAAAGGGGAGAGGGAAGAAGGGGAGGGAAGAAGGGGAGGGGAGTATGTCCTGAGGACACTGATGGTGCTTGCAGGCCAACGTGATTCACTGCCCTGAGTCGAACATGAAGCTCGCTTCCGGCGCTTGCCCTGTGTGGAAGTTGATGAAGAAAGGCGTCAACATGGGGCTGGGAACTGACGGGTGAGGAGGAAGGAAGGGAGAGACAAGGCTGGAGAGGGTCGGATGAGGGGAGGAGGGAACAGGGGAAGAGAGGAGAAGGATGGAAGAGGAGACGGGGGGAGAAGGGGGTGAAAAGGAGCAAGAGAGGAGAAGGGGAGGGAGTTGTTGTAGTTGTTGTTGTAGTTGTTGTTGTGGTGGTGGTGGTGGTGGTGGTGGTGGTGGTGAGGAGGAGGAGGAGGGAGGAGGAGGAGGAGGAGGAGGAGGAGGAGGAGGAGGAGGAGAAGGGAGAGGAGATTGAT